AGACCCGCTAAGTGTACAATTAGCGAACTTTATTTATAATTATTCCACAAAACAGAACAAGATAATTAGCGCGGTAAGTAAGACTTTGGCGCAATCACTAGGATAGATAAAACGTTTATACAAATCGTCGACGAGTGTGTCGACCAAACAATTGCCTCTCCTAACACGAAAGCGATCATGTCATTATTTGCCGAGAAAGGTTTAGTTAGTTATTGCTGGAAACCTAAATCACGATTTCGGTAGTTGGCGACTCATTTGACAAATAAGTAAGATTAAAACGTAATGAAAACAATTTACAAACGATTGGCGTCCAAGGTACTGTCAAGTCCAATGTCTTCGTTACCTTACGATCCATTTTCAAAGTTACACTTGTATAAGAGTTTCTATATGTCAAACAAGGATCATGCCCATCATGCAGACATCGGTCTTTATCCCGGTGCCGAATAAGTATATACCAGCCGGGACCATACTGGACGTCGATAATGCGGCGGCCAAACAATCGAATGTATCGCATAATTGCTCTGAGTATTCTAAAGTAGTGTCGACGAGTATGCCAGCATACGAAGAAAGTAGTTGACCGAAGTACTGATTTGGAAATTGAGGGCCAGTATAGAGGACTTCAAGCTTTTACATCTATAATTCAGCGAGTAGATCATGCATCTTTAGTTTGACGAAACGGCGTTGCTGCTACATAGAAATCTACAGCATAACTGTAACGGGGTAGCCCGTTACATGATATTGTCACTAAGGATAAAGTGACAATAAAAAATATTGCGTTGAATATTCTTTCAACAATATCACAGAGCATGATGATATAGTTGAAGATTAATAAAGGGTCTACTCATTGGTTGATATTGATATGATATCAACCCACTAATCGCTGCTAGATGCGCGCAATGGGTGGTGAGTGGACGTCATCATTCGTTTATTTAGATTAATAGAATTAAGTCAAGTTAAACAGAGACATAAGATTGATAGGACTTAATTGTTTTAAAAAACAGTTTTACTGTTACCAGCAGAGACTAGCGTGTTCACTAGCCTCCTTTCCTTTCTCTGTGTTGGTGCAACACTTAGCAGGGCACTGACTATCACTGTTGTCAGTGGAAGTGAACTCCATATTGGCCAACCAGTTCGTAGTCACCAGTGCCCCGTTACAATATTAAATAGAGCAAAAATTTGTTGTAACTGACGAATCGGTTGTCTAAAATCGCACTGTGCCTTTCAATTTTTCAACCCTTTTTGCGGATTTACAATAACGTTTTACTGCGTGACGGTGATTGTGTCGATTGAAGCCTGCAAAATATTATGGCTGGCAATCGCTGGGTTGAAAGGGCTTTCTTTGCAGCCACAATTGAAAAAGAAGGAGAAACGAACGCTATATGCTGTCTCGACAATCACCTGCCGTCAAATGTAGAGCTTATCCGCAACCTAAGCGAAACTTCTACAGTATTAGGACCGTGGCTACTGATCAAACTCATTCATACGGTGGCAACGAGAGAGAGCACTACATAAATCTACGAAGGTAATGGAGTGCCTCCTACATGTCATTGGCACGAATTGTATCAATGTATATAGGATGTTACTTGATGATACTTGGAAAAATACCCTTGCAAGTTAATGTTCTTAAAATATTACCATTAGCGGTAACTATCGGCATTACTTCACAGTTGGTTGATGAAGACATCGATATCAACCGAATAAATTACAAATCGATACTTGACGCAAGCAATGGTAGTGTACGAGAATACCGAATATGACGGAGCTATTTGAAATCATTTCGTAAGACAAAGAAGGATTGATTAAAAAATCTAAATTAATTGTATGAAACACAGTTTTACTATCCCCCAACTCTCAGCATCATATCCTCAGCTCTCTCGTTCTCTCTAGCGCTCACGTGTACGTGGCGTCTGGGAGGATAACTCTTGAATTGCAATAAGCACGAGGGCTTACCAGCAAACTAGTAAAAGTGTGCCCCGTTACAGCTTTACGATATGAAATATACAGCTTATCGTATTATTTAAATGAGCAACTCTTGCTCAGATTCTTAATTCCCTCGGCACGTACGGTGTACGCACGGTTCTGGAAGAACACACTCTTGTACTGTTACGATACAAGAGCTCGCCACTTATCTGGTAAGGAGTGTACCCCGTGACATGTAACGTACTGACTAGCAACAATTAAGGCACCCGCCTATCGACTGGACATTTTAGGCTAACTGTTTAGCTTATGAGAGTGCTACGAATGATTATCGAAGCTACACGTAGCTGTCGTAGCGACTTCGCTTTTTCTTATCTTGCCCGGCATCATTTCAATTGCTAATGAGACGAAAAAAGCACATATTCCAAGAGTATCTTTGCTTCGATCTCAATTCTTCATGACGATTACCATTTAGTAAAATCGTTTCTTCATCGAAAAAAACATAACGCCGTGGATCATTTACGTCGATTACAATGGTAGAGCGCATATGCGTATCGTATCTATCACCGAAGTCGGCTGAGCGCTCTACAACGGGTAGATTGATCATGTACTTCTTTCGATGAACTTTGCAAGAAGAAGTGAGACGAAGAGCGATGCTAGACTACCTGTGATACTATTGAGATCACGATGGCGCTAGTTTCTCGCTCAGACTACAAGTCGTTCTCTATATCCATGACAAGCATCCGATGAACCTCGGCCATTGCCTCGTGCAGGTTACGCGTGTTGTCAGCTGGCATTTGCAAAAGATGCGCATCCTTCGATTTAATACCGGTATGATTTAAGGAGGAAGCACAGCTCATGCAATTGACAAGCACCGTTTGAACAATCAGAAACCAATTGGATAGTTCTTTTCGCTAGGATTTTTGTGGGCGCCAATAGAAAGTATGTACTGGCATATAGGACTTGGCGTCGACATCGCCACATAAATGATTGGCGTCATTAAGTAGTAAACAAACGTATAACACAACGAAGTTTTGTGCCACGATCGCAAATTTGTTTAGTAGTCAGATTTGGTGATCGTTTGGTCGATGCTTTGATGATGTAAAGTGTTGACCAGTGTCTCGTTTTGTATGCACCAATGCCAATCATCGGCTCTTTGCCGGCCCGACATTTTAATAGGGCTCAGATGGTACGCTCTTTTCGAAGCAATGTTGACGGCAGCGACTTCATTCATGCACATTCGTGCCTTACGATTAGACACCAATACGTGCTTCATGACCGTAAATCAAAACACCGAAACGACCCGTTAATTCAATAGCAAATCCCTTGCACGACGTATCGAAAAGACAGTCCTGTCGGTCACTTGCGCGCAATTGACCACGCGATCTAGATTCAAGACCGCACGAGTAAGGTCCAAGACAGCACGAGTAAGGATCTAGGGCATTGCAGAGACTAGCGCCAAGGCGACTTATCATATCTCGGTGTGTAGTGATGCGCACTAGAATCGACATTCAGCCATGTTTGCCCCATAAGGAGGTGCGGAAGTCACCACCAATGTGGCTAAGACAAAGGTTCCAATAAGGACCACTCTGCACGGCTTTGGCTCCGCTTCATCGGAACACACACGGCGCATCCCATTGCTTACAAGCGACACTTTTGACCTGTAAGGAAAATGTGCTTGTGGTTGCGTGCTGTGACGCGATTGAGTAGCAAACTCTAGAGCTCGCCCTCTGATGTGAATGATCAACATTGAAGAACTACACTATAAGCTGGTAATACCCGCGCCACGACCGTGAAGTACGTGTTGCAAATAAATAACTTCAATTGTGCGGGACGTGTTCAGCAGATCAACCTCGTTCATGCACATGCTCTTCCTCACCAACTACCACAGATGTCCCTTTCAACAAGAGCGTACAATGCCATTTCTATACCGCCTCCAAAACTTGCATACGGTGTAGAAATGACCTGCAGCCGAGACAGCGTCTTCTTTGATCGGACCTCTGAAAACGCATATCGCATGCTTCGCTTTTCGTTCGTGATGTGACTTGCAGACAAAAGACAGACAGTAAAGAGGCAGATGGACAGAGAGCCAGTCAGCCAGATAGACCGAAAGCGGCTACCAAAATACTCGGTCTCTACCTTGCGTACTATCCCGACCACTAACCTCACTCACCCTTCGTTCGCTTGCAACTACACTATTCGAAACATCTCGCTGCGTGCCCCTTCTTAGTGAAGTGTGCTGCGTACCAGCCTTCACGACGTAATTTTCACTTTTACAAGATGCAAAAGGGTCGTACTGGTGCTGATCAACTGTTTTTGCATCTGGCCGGATCAGGGGGGATGTCTGCTTCTACGTGCCCATAAGATTATCTCAGTCAACCGCTCTTTCTCTCCTTTTTCAGTCACCATCGCCACGTGCGTCGACAGGTGTCCATGGATCCAACACGTCGTCACAAAGTCGTGGCTCGATCAGATGCAAAAGCGGACGTAGAAAGGAGGAACTCCCTGGCGTCAAGTCAACGTCCAGCCAACCTTTTTCGTACTGTGCAAGCCCCTCGTACCCGGCCGCGGTTCACAGACGCCCCGTGGGCCATTGTGCGTGGTACAAGTGAGCTTGTCAACTGCGAACTGGCGAGCTCGAAACTGCATACAAGCGTGTGGCTAGTCTTTGCTGCTGCACTGCACTGCATTCTTTCGACGACAGACGTTGCGATGCCAATTGGAACGGCTCTGTCTGTCGGCACGCACAATCATTGGCACGCAAAGTCACGACGGAGCAGATTCACCGGGGCCTTGCCGTGAGTATACGCGCAAACAATTACGGAGCTCGGTCCATACCCGCCTTGGAACGGAGAAGAGCTTTGCTCGCCCACGTTTCCCGCCCCGGCACTACGAAATAGCAAACGTCTGCCCCGTGCCCGTCAGTGTCAAACTGTCTTCGTTCCGCGTACTTCTCGAGTCGGACCCTCTCCCCCCCGCGAGTCCGACACAACGTGCGAATGAGATCGATAGCCACTTTCATCGTAGCAGTGGCATGTGTGCTGGCACTGACGCCGTCGACGTCCGCCTGGTCCTTCACTTCCATGTTCGGAGGAAAGGACAAGGACAAAGACGCCAACAAGACCGCGAGTGATGAGACACTCATGGACCTCGAGGCAGGCGTGGCTCAAGACGTGACCGAGTTGGAGCAGCCTCTCTTGGAAGCAGCTGACTGGTTCCTCACCGAGGAGGAGATCACTGCGTCCCGGGGCGGTGTGCCTCGCTCGGGCATGGTCACCTTCAGCACGGGCAACGACGTGAAGACGTTCACAGTGTCGAAGGAGTTTTTCGACTCGCTCTACGACGATCTCTCGGCGACGAAGCTCAATGACCGCGTCATGGTGACGTCGTACAACACGGCGCTCATTCCGTTCAAGCCCGAAACGGACCCGGAAGGTCTCGTGAGCAACTTTGATATCGTCTTTGGCGGCGTCGTGAAGCGAGGAGGAGATGTCAAGATCATGTGTTGGGCGACGAAGTACCCGTCGAAGCAGGACATCAAGGTGCGGAACAGGATCAACGAACTTCCCACGTCCGGCCTGAACAGCGGAAATGCCCTGTTCATTTTCGATGACCGCCTTCCCTATGGCCTTTCGTCGCATCACCAGAAGACGGTCATCATTGCGTCCAGCACTCCTTCTGGAGCAGATGACTTTCCGATCTCTTACGTCGGCGGCATCGACATTACGAATGACCGTTGGGACACCATCTACCACAACGAGTCAGTTCTTCGCGAAAAAGCCCGTATCCATTTGGACTACAAAGGATGGGTCGACAGCAGCCTGCGCATCCACGGACCGGCCGCGAAAGATGTTGCAGCGAATTTCCTGGCGCGCTGGAACTCGCCATACCTTCCGACTCAAGATCTTGTCGACGACCTCGCGTCGTTTGAAAACCCACGGTACTCCTTCTTGCCGCCTCTGAACTACACCAGCAGTAACACCACGGCGAAGCTCGGGCACCAGAGTGTGCAGATTGTGCGCACGTTCAGCTGCAAGTACAAGCACTACGAGTTTGCACCATTTGGCGAGAAGTCGCTGCTGTTCGCGCGCATCAAAGCCATCAAGAACGCCAAGAACTTTATCTACGTTGAGGACCAGTACTTCATCCACGTGCCTGAGTTGCTGGATGCCCTGATGACGGTTATGCCAATGATCCAGCGTCTAATTGTCGTCGTCCAGCCACCGGAGCTGATAACGAAGAGCGGTGGATACGAGAAGTACATGTACAAGCTGGTCCAGCCTCTCAAGGACAAGTTCCCGGACAAGATCCGGATGTACTCGATGAAGCCAGAGCTGAACGTGTATGTGCACAGCAAGATTGTCATCATCGACGACGTGTACTTGTCGGACGGCTCAGCCAACTGGAATCGTCGCAGCATGACTTCGGACGTTGAGCTGAACGCGAATATCGTCGACACGAAGACGGTCGAGTCTCCTGACGGAATTACGGTGGGCAAACTGATTCGTGACTTTCGTGTGCGCAAGTTCCACGAGATGACGGGACGGAGCTACGAGGAGATCAACAAGATGAGTTTTCTCGACAGCGCCGACCTGTTCGATGTGGCGGCCGCAGAGCCGACTTCTCTGATCAAAGAGTTCCACATTAGCAAGAAAATGTACTACAACGTCGTTGGGAAGGCCCTGCACGATAATATTGATCCGTACGATCACTGTGAGTAGTTGGCGCAGTCGCCTCGCACAGATGTCGCGGTGAGTTTAGCGCACGAGGGCACTGAGGGAGGTTACATTACGTTTAGCTTTACTTGTCGAGTAAGAGAATGTTCACTTTACTAGGATTGTTTGTGGGCAGTTCGTTCGCTCGGTGCAGATTCAATGGCTCGAAAAGTCATCTTCATGATGACTTCGAGCAGGTTGCAACGGCTTCGTTTTTCAGTGTTGCATACTAAGGTGATGGAGGAACGACGAGGAGCTGTATCTCGTCTGACGACTTAGTTGTGCAACACGGTGTGCTGATCAACTAAGGCAAGTGTGTTCAAGATTGTTGGGAGTATGTGGTTCTCTAAAGCAATGATTGCCATTTTGTAGCTTTTGAGTAAAGTGTAGTGGGCCTTAACGATACAGGCGGATGATCGCAGAAGTTGGGGGAGAAGGAATACACACACATGAGCCGGTTGCTAGGTACTCTGTAAATAGACCATAAACACTAATTTACCGATTTCCAGGTGCTTGGTGAGTAGATTTTAAACAAAATTGACGTATCGTAAGTATTGACCAGAGCAGCAAGTTTCTCGCGGACCGTTGCTGCTGTTCATAGTGCTTGTCTTCCAACAAGCAGACGAGCAGAATAGAACTTAAACGCGTATTCTTTCGCATTCTTGTACTTGTCCGCATGCTGGTGCATCGCTTGTAGTAGGAAGAAATCGCGCAGTATGGCAACCTTCTTGCCATCCGTGTTCAGCCCACAATGCATGGCAGACTTTACGATGGACTTTAACCACCCGACACGGATCTTCTGCATCATGGGCATGGTGAGCAATACCGGTGTAAGTTCGAACAATCTTGGCTACAGTTGTTGCCGCTGCGAATATTTACTCGTGTGCGGTGGAAAACAATGGACCGTCGGTTCTTTCCAGCAACATGAGCTTTCGGAATGTGTACATGCCCGAAGTGCTGCCATTGAATTACATTATCAGTAGACTTTCTGGTGTCAACACTCGCCTTCTGAATGCTCTGCTCGTGCATTACACGATTACGATTAAAGTATCGATGGCAAGACAATAGAAGCGAGCGTAAAACAGCGCAAAAGAAAGCACGACTGCAGAGCTGGAGAACCTAATCAGCCTACTTCTCGTTGTCTCGCACGCAGTTGCGGATCAAACGCTACCTGCCGAAGGTAAGAGCGCAGATTCTATTGACTTAGGCGCCGCTGTGATGAATCAAAGCACCCAAAATCGCGAAAGCAGAAACGTGAAGAACGACTGTAGATAGATCGGCGTATCCGACTGCTTCTTTCATGCTTGACCACGTAGCGACGATGGTACTAAGTAATCAGCAGCAAACGTAGCTCAGACAGTTACCATCTACCGGTAAATCGCAAGCGTTCCGCTAACGTTTTCGAAGAGTGCATAGAGAGCCGTTCTCCTCGATTTTGCTCATGCAGTAGGCAGCACAAACGCAACACAACTTGTCGGCCAAAAGGGGCCGGCTGGTATCAGCTATAGCATCGACCATGAGACTTAACATGAAGCCGGAATGCGCCTAACCTACAGCATAGGCGACAGCGTGTTGTTGGTGTGAAGCAGATTATACGACTATAATGGCTATAGGCTGAGGTTGATTAGTGTCGATGAACAGTTCAAGACAAAGCTTGCGTGAATTTCACAGCAATTACGCAACAATGCCTTGATTACCTCAACAATCGTGACAAGAGAACATGGTGGTGAGGGCACTTCAGCAGAAACTTTTTGAGCGCTTGTACTGTAAAGCGATCAAAATTAGACCCTCCTGCGCTACTGAATGAAGTTTTGCACTTTGTACGCCCAAGCGCACACTACGACATTTACTACTCTGCACCGAGCGGGATTATGATGTATCATTGTCAATAAAATAGACCGGCGCAAAGCAAACGAAAATTGGATCGCTAAATCTGACTGGAGCTTGCTCGAAGTTTTTGGAGTCGTGCACCTTATCTGCAGATGGCTTAACAGAACAGTAGTACATTGTTGGTTCATATCTTCGTGCACTAGCTTTTGTGCAATTGCATCGTTCGAAGATGCAATCACAAGAAAGGAACCATACGAACACACATGGGAGGAGGAACAGACAGTCTATTACACGGTTTTAATGTGAACAAGACCTCTGTAATGTCCTAAGCCAGATTAGAAACGCCGGTGTCGAATTGCCCGGTAGTTGTACGTGACTCACCACATGATGTGATGCTCTAGAAGGCGCAGTGGTATCATCGAGTAACTCAATGCACTGCCAAAGCCGGATGCCTTGCACCATTGATTGTAGCGTTCGGCGCTCTCTTGCCGATAGCGCTCGTAATTGCCGAAGTCCGTTAGAGCAAAACTCTTGGACACTGCCCTGGAGTGAGAGTTGTTGCTGCTCGTGATCAGCCCAATTGCGCTGTATCCAAAGAGTCGAGATATAGACGGGAACAGAGGATCCACCATATGCGCTTCCACTGAGCAATATATTCCTCCACAGTATCTCTAAAGGCCCGCTGCAGCCGTTGTAACAGTGTCCTAGACAGAGGCGGCGGCTGTCGTGCTAAGCAGTTCCCCGCATACTGACTCATGTCATTCAGCCGCACATCGGACCCATACCACGCGGACAAGACTGCCTGCCAGCATCTCTGGGCCACCATACAGGTCCAGAAAATGTGCTTTAGTGTCTCTTTGTGACCAGCACAGACGGTCAGCCGTCGGCAACTGTTGTCTAGTTCCCTGCCCGTGAAGAGTAAATTGAGCTGGTGAAGTACCAGACGGTAATAGACCCACACTTGATACTCCGTTATCGCATTTTTGTGGCCCCACAGCTGCTTCGGTGTTTGATGAAGAACTGATAAGAGCCAGTCCCCTCGGGCTGCACAGGTTTGTAACTTTTGGAGTATACCTTTTAATGCCTTGCCAAGCCCCGTCTTTGCCTTGCAATACGGCTGGCGCTTAAGGTATCGCAATACGTGCCAATTCGCCACATTCGGTGGGGCATCCCCCGGAAAGCTGTGGGTCGAAGGATGAGCTGCCAAGACCAGACCGAGAGACCTTTGCGAGCTCCGGAGGACGGCCACATCGTGGCCATACTCCGGAGGTATAGCGGAGTCGACGACTGTCCAATCAATTCCGTCGGCTTCCTGCTTAAGCATCATTCCAAGTGAGGACATACTTGGCGGCGTACGTGCCACCCCCTCGAATTGCTTTAGGTCCGTCCGGCACCCAGTTGTACGATAGCCGGAGTTTAAGGGGGGTCGAAGAGTCACAGTGGGTAGAACCTCGAATGACCGGCCTATAGCCAACGAAGGACTACCCATCACAATTGCCAAAGCCCATCGCCCAAGGTTGCGGTCCGTGTGGTGCTTGGCCGCCCCTCAGCCAACGGGACGTGACAAACGTATGTCGTTGGGCCGCTTCGCTCAAACGCAAGTTCTTCCAGTGAGCACGGCCGGATGCGGTCGTATTTCGTCCTCAACAATTGATGACCGGTACCATCGCAGAGCCATGGGTTGTCTGTGTAACGGGGCACTGTTGACCACATACTAGTTGACCAGTACGGAGTATACTTTCACTGACGACAGTGGTCGACAGTGCCCTGCTAGGTGTTTTGAGAACACAGAGGAAGGAAAGGAGACTAGGTAGTCAGACTAGTCTCTTGGTAAAAGTAAAACTGTATTTATTTGATTAAGTCCTATAACTCCTTAATCTCTGTTGTCCTGACTTAATTATACTAATATAACTATATGTATGATGACGTCTACTCACCACCCATTGCGCGCGTCTAGCAGCGATTGGTGGGTTGATATCATCACGATATCTGTAACGGGGCAGCCCGTTACATGGAATTTTCACTTTAAGGAAAGTGACAATAAAGAATATGAAGTTGAATATTCTTTAAACAATATCACCAAAGTGGTGATATTGAAGGGTCGACCAAAGAGTCTGTTCATTGGTTGATATCTTGATGATATCAACCCACCAATCGCCGCAAGATGCGCGCAATGAGTGGTGACGAGACGTCACTATACACTCAGTTATATTAGCATAATTAAGTTAAGTCAAACAGAGAGACAGTAGTTAAAAGACTTAATTATATTAATACAACAGTTTTACTTTTACCTTATCATACGCTTCCTCGTTCGCCTCGTGTACATCTGTCGGGGCACCCGAAACCCTTGCGTTAAGTTCACGCAAGGGTGTGCCCCTTTACACCTGGTAGCACTTCGTAGTCCTTCCAAGGACCACAGCATCCAACATGAACATGTTGGATGACGAAGAAACCTTTCACGCCACGCGTGAAGGGTTTACCCATTTGAGCAACATCGAATGGGGTGCGGCAGAGCGAATGAGTTCTACCGTAGGCGAGTTCGCCATTAGCGCCATGTTGGAGTCTCTAGACAGAGACCAACAACATGCCGCTATAGCCAAGTCCATCCAAAGTGAACTTTTCGCCGAAAGGGAGAAAGTAGCCTTGCTTGACCAGCAAGGATCTCAACAGGCCGAGCAGTTGAGAGAACTCGGTGCTCAACAGACAGAGCTGTTGAGACAGCAGCAATTTCATGCTGCTGTGGGCGGGACGGCACATGCGCGTCGTCCTGGGGTCATGAAAGTTGACATCTCCAAGTACAGTGGAGTCCCGGAGGACTCCCTGTTACTATGGTTTGTCGAACTCGACAGAGCCTTAAGGGCTCGTCGCGTCGAAGATGAGCAAATGAAACTCACATTTGCGCAGGCCCACTTGGCAGAGCGTGCCAAAACTTGGTTCCTGGGACTCGAGAGTAGCGACCCAAATGTGTTTAGGTCGCTAGATGACTTCGAGTCCCGGTTCAGACAAACGTTTGAGCCGCCACGAGCTGAGTTCAGGGCTCGTTCTGAGCTCCTGAAACTCAAGCAGGGTAAGCGTGATGTGCACGCTTACGCACAACATATACGACTCCTAGCGAATAGTATAACTGCTAACCCAGTTCATGAACATACGTTAATTACGGTGTTCATGCAAGGGCT